GCAACAAGGTGGACTGGCACAGTGACAGCAGCAATGAGCTAGAGTACATAAAAAATGATGAGGATGTCACAGGATAGGACAGGGTTCAGATCTGTTGTTCATGGGTCGTGGAGATTCATACTCAACTTGAAGGCACCTAACAACAGTTGAAGATATGAACCAGCACACTAAGAAATCTTAAAGTTGACTCCTGGTTTACAGGGCAATATTAACCAGGGCACCGGACAATCTGATGTATTTTAAGAAGGCCTAAATCTGTTCCACAGACCTATGCTTCTGGCCACAAAGAGGTACAAAAAAGTGAAGGGAGCAGCTGCAAACAGACTGAGACACATCCATGTATTTGTAGCACTGGTGACAGATTAACCTATGAAAAGGCTCAAGTTTTGTTTGAGTAACCCCAAAATTCACTTTCAAACCCTTTTAAGGTCAATTATCAGTATGTCCAGACAACAGTAAAATGTTTAAGTCCATTTTCCTTTGTCCTGCCAAGTCTGCCTACAGACTCTCTTCATTTATTACAACCAACGTCATCTACTTTCTTGAAATGAATTACTAACTTTATCATCCTTGGTTTTAGGTTTTTATGTGGGTGAGAATTCTAGTCAGGGACTACATGCAGGCAAATTTGCTCAAAGTTATGAGCACAAACTACCAATTAGAGTCAAATAAATTGGCAGACAGACATCCCCTTCTAAATGTAAATCTTCTAAAAGGGCTGCCATAATCAGTTAGCTTTGGCTCCATTCCAGTAAAGGAATGTGAGTGCTGCTGGAGGAGGAAGGAGATACAGGGAGGGCAGCATGATGGGGACAGGAAGAAGGGGGTAGGTGAGGAAGAACAGACACCAGAAGCAAAAACAGAGAAGTATAAAGAAGCCAAAAGATAAACCTTGCCAACAGCTGCCTAGTGTCGATTTTCTCTCAGCATAGGTGAGTAGTTAACTGAGAAGACAAGATTCAGATGCACATATCTAAGGGGGGGGTACTATTTTATCAACACAAAACTGTCAAGTAATAATAAATGTAAACAAAAGATATGCATGGTAACAGAAGAAACTATAGTTTCTTAATAAATTTAAATTCACAACACACATAATGCAGGAGAAGGATAGGCAATCTCATCCCATGCAATTAATTGCCTCTGAAAACCCACCAGAGAGTCAGCTATGGGTCGGTTCAGAATCTATGGTACACAACAACAAGAAGACACAATATGGTGAAAAAACAAGTCTCTGCTGCACAGAGAACTGTGTGCATTTTTTTTCCTATCAAAAAAGAACACTGAACTAGAACTTGAACATTAAGTTCTTGGATTTGGTTTATACTCTCTTAAAAGCAGCTTTGGACTCTTCATTAAATTCTTATCAACATTTTTATTCCCTCCAACAACAAATATTTTGAGGGCTCTTAAAAATGAGCTTTCAGGGTTTCCCACACACAGTAGTATATTAGATTCACTTGAGAAGAAATTTTTTGATGTGCAAGTCTACGGGCCTTAGAGATTTTTACTTAATTGGTCTGGGATGAAGCCTCCATAGATGTTGGGGGTTTTCTGTGTGGTTTGGGTTTTTTGAATCCCATGTGATTTTAATGTTCAGCCAGGCTGAAGAACCACTCACTGGTCTAGTCCGTCTTATACATAAGTGAGGGTTAGCAGAACAATGTACAAAGCCCTTTCTCCATCCTTTGAAGTTTGTTTATTTCCACTTTATTAACCAATCTTTCTTTGACCACCTTTGCTGAAAATCACATTACTTACTTCTGACATAGATTATTAACAGAAGAGCCTCCTAGCTATTTTGCCTTGCTCCATTTACCTCCCAATCCAATAAGTCATGATATGTTTTTCTAGCTAATCAGACAAACTAAAGAACTAAGAGAAAGAGAAGAAGGAAAAAAGATAAATCCAATAGGGAAGAGCCTGAGTCAAGACACAGAGGCAGGAATAAAGATGGTATGTGCCTCAGTAGGCTAGAGAAAACAGATCTGATTTCAGGTATAATAAGTTTCGAAGCAATTTAGAGGTGAGACTGAGTAAACTGAAGTCAAACATGGACAACTCTGAAAGCAAAATACAGGAGTATGTTTCTGAAATACTATGGTCTTTTAAGTCTCATCGAAACAAATACTTGTTTCCATCAAACTGTGTGTGTCTGTGTGTGTGTGTGTACATAATTTCATATATGCTCTTTTTTTTTATTGTCAGCTCCAGTGTACTCCAAATTGCCATACAGCGGTAACTTGTGGTTGCTGTGAGGCTGAACACTGTGACACTGATGTGTCAAATGCATTAACGGCTAATTACCCAATGCGGACAGAGAGTGGGGTGATTAAAACAAGCTTGGAAGGAGGAGTGGCATCCACTTCCATAATAGCTTGCCTCCGGAAACCCTGTGAACCTGGAGAGAGGATGAAAGAGCATGAGAGGCATTGAGGACTCTCCTTCATAGGGTCGCATGAATCGCCTGAGACTCCACAGCACTTAACAACAACAACCACCAGTGTACTCAATTTTTATTTATATATAATGGATGTTGGTGCTTTATAAAGTATTGTTGTTATGTACTGTTGACTCAGAACTGACTCATATGTGACCATCCAGTGAGTTTTCAGAGGCAATAGAAGACACTGGAGGAGACTGCCCATCTTTCTCCTCTGAAGCAGCTGGTGATTTGAACTGCATACCTTAGGGTTAACAGCATAACTCCTTATCAGTAAGCCACCAGAACTCTGTTATAAAGCATATCTTTCCCAACTATTTAATGATTGAATTTTGTAAAAAAAAAAGTCCAAATAAATTATCAGTAAATTTTGCATTTAAAGGGAGGAAATAGCAATGAATACATGTATTATCCCATTTGGGTCAGAAATGTGATAGGATTTTTTTCCAGTAGGTTCTGTGTTACTACAAACACTAAAAAAGATTAAGATGAATGTTTACCAAGAACAAAGCTTGTTTTGGTTTGTATTGAAACTTGTCACAGAACACCAACTTAAGATTTAAAAGCTAAAGGTTAAACTACAGTTTATGATATTTACATTTATTAAAAGATATTATTACATGCAATCTAAGCAATATATAAAGGAAAGACTGAACAATGATGTCACTTTTTGTGATTTTTGTCCCTGCCTATAAGGACTTCTATCTCAAGAACAGAAAGACACAAATATAAAGAGGAAATAAAGCCAATACTAAGTAAGTGGTAAAGACAATAAGCACCATGGGAATTCAAATAATAGGAACCTGACATAGACCAAGAGTTGGAGACAGTTTCCTAGAGAAGCAATGACTTAAATAAAATTAAATGGGTGGAGAAAAGAAAGAAATTCCAAATACACATATATCACCTTCTGCAAAGACGAGCCATAAATAAAAATTTAAAAAATCTATTTGAGGGGGATAGAGTTGACCTAGCAAGAATAGAGGGTTCCAGGTGGGAGAATCTGGGGAAACAATATGCCAATAAAAAAAGCGGAATTGGACAACGAAGTAACCAGAATATCAAGCCAGGATATATATCTATAGATAGAGAATGACTTACAGATTAAAAAGAAAAAAAAAAAAAAAAACACAACCCAGTAAAAACCATGTAGCCTTTTAATGAATGATTCTGTCTGGAACCATTTTTTTAAGCTGCTGAAGAACACATCAAGTAACATTGTATCTTGCCAAAGCATTCATGACTATGTGAACATATTATTTAGAAGATTTGTTCAAACTGCAGGAGTCAATAATCCATCCTAACACACAGAATTAGTGATCAACTATCTGCACATCCATAATTCCTAGAATAATTCCTAAGAAAGTCACTGGGTTTCCCTCTCTCCTACCCCCTCAAATTAATACTTTGATTGAATGAACAGAAACTCAATGTGTAGAAATTCTCTATGTATTTTATACCGACAATGCACGGCATACAAACAAGAGGTCTTTTATTAGTTTCCTTTATGGATGACTTGGTACACTATGCTGCTTCATAATTACCACATCTATTAAAAAAATTTTACCCATGCTTTGTTTCAATAAAGCAGATGAAAACACACAGAGAAATTTTAAAAATCAAAAATTGTGTACATCAAAACAGTCTTTCATCAAAACACATTTAAATTAATGAGCCACAGCTTATGACGCAAAAGGGATAGAGTGTGCTCATAACCAGGAGAAGAAAAAAAAAAAGCCATCCACAACAAAGACTACCAGGGTGTATTTGAAGAACATTACAATAGCCATTCAAAGCGAAAAGTCAATAATCCACAACTCTATAAAAGATGGAGTTTATTTCTACCTCGAAAGTACACTTAAATTGTTGGCCCTTTCTGCCATAGAAAATAAGACTAACACAACTCAAAACAAGGATTATCTTTCCCCTTATAACTAGACCTATTAGCGACTGATGATTTAATTTGTACAGCAGCAAATATTCATTTCACCAACAACATCGTCTCAACAGCAGGGAAATGAAAAAAAAAAAAAAATCCCAGTCTTTAAAGGCAGACAGGACAAAAAAGAGCCAAGAATCTTCTAGGATCATTAAAAAGACACATTACAAAACCAGAAGGAAAAACCCAGTCAACACTGCTGATGTAGTATAAAAAGGAATATGCCATTCTTGGAGGCATGTATGCCTTTAAGGAACATTTGTTACCCCTTCTCTTCAGGAAATATGGGCATATCCAGGACAGTTGGAAGAAGTGCATTAAGGCAGGTAGCAATATGTCCCTACCCTCTTACTGGGGACACTGGCTTTAACAATAATGCTTTCCCACCCCTAACATCCCAGGCAATTTCCATCCATCCTTCAGGCAGCATTTCCCTTCTCTCCCCAATTCCCTTCCTCGCCCCTCACACTCAGAAGGAGCTCACAGCTCCGACTCTGGCGGTCTCGCCGCCCCCGCCCCCCCCCGATCAGCAGAGCCCAACAACGCAGCCACGCAGCCACCCAATCCCCCACCTCCCTCTCTCCTTAGCCCAGCTTCCCCTTCCCCCTGTCCTGTCACCTGCTTGGGTGGTGTCCGTCAGGTCGTAGCCACTGCCTGGGAAGTCTCGGAGTTTCCTGCCACTGAGGCTCAGGATGCCAGAGTTGCCTGCCTCCTCCAGGGCCCGGTCCAGGCTCCTTACCGTGTGCTGAGGCTGCAAGCTCCCTGGGTTCCACTGCGGCCCGTTGGGGAACGGCTGACCAAAAAGAGTCGGTACCGGGATGGGCACCGCCAGTGTCCCGCTGCCGCCGCCGCCTCCCCCTCCGGCCCCGCCGCCTCCCCCTCCAGCTGTGCCACTGCCGCTGCTACTTCCACCTCCCCCACAACCGCCGCCCCCACTGTTACCACCACCTCCCTGACTCGCCGCCATGTTCCTAGGAGAGAGAGAGAGAATAGCCCCCGACAATACTCGCAGCTTGTGCAGTGAGTGTAGGGGGTGCCTAAGACGCATGCGCAAACTGGGAGGGGGCGAGGTAGAGGGTGGGAAGGAACGAGGGGGCGGGCTGGAAGGAGGTGTTGAATCGAGCAGAAATGCTGTTCAAAAGTGCAGAATGCTGGCTTTGAGAAATATATGATCAAAGGAAGGATGCTGAATCTTGGGTTGGCTGCTTTTGGGTACCAAAATCTCATGAAGCAACACGATCCTCTAACTCTTGGTGATTTGGCGATTTGACAAAAAAAATCTCAAACTTGCTTCACCTTTTCCCGTTCTGCAGAATAAATACAAATATATTAGGCAGAGATGAAATAGATTCGTTTCAGAGATTATGGAAACAGCATTCAAAAGGATTAGCATGTTTACTGCAAATGCCTCAGGAGTTACTTACTAGTATTAGCATTAGCATTAATATTAACCTTGGAGAGACATTTGAGAAGGAAAAATGGTTCAGTATTGAGTTCTATGCATATATGAATCTTATAATAGTTTGGAATCTCAAAATATGAGAAGGCTTTCAGAATGTTTTCAAGAACGTCTCCTATTCCAGGGTGCACGGGTCTCAGCCAAACTTCTGCCTTCCAACACTTGGAATCGTTTCATCCATTCTATTCCATCACTGTTTGAAGTGGAGCCTAGATCTCCTAAATATATCCTGTTTCCCCTCACCACTCAGTATTGGCTGTTGGAAAACTTTCATCATCAAACAACCTTACAGTTTACTTTTGAAAAGCAAGTTATGGTTTTGGGTTGAGTTCAGACTGTTTAACATTGGGAATATGAGGCTATTCCCAATAGCTTAAAATCCAAGGCAATTACCGTGAATTTTAAGGGATTGTACTTAGAACCTGAAGACTTCTTTTTTTTCATTTTTATCTTTTTAAGACATTTCTTATACAGAGGACAAAAAAAAATAAAATTGAAACTCCTTTATGTGGTCTTTGAGGTCAGGTTTATCAGTATCAACCTCAAGGATGCTAACCTCTCCATTCCCTATGCTCTTCAGTCATACTCTCAGTTATTTAGATCTTTCCATGAATAGTCATTAACGTCATTGAAGAAACATACGGGAATTTTTAAGAAATGTGGATATTCCATGCACTTTTTTTTATATCATTTCCATTTGAACAGTATGTCAAGAGTTTGATTTGGTTATGAAACCACTACACAACTAAAGGTTAACTGGCATAAGGGGCGGGGGGTTGGGGGGGTGGAGAGAAGACAGCAAATCCTTGTCAAGTCAATGTCTGCTGAAAGTGATCTTTATAGTAGGACACTTCCCATCTTTCTCCTGTGGAATACCTTCTGGATTTGAAATGCTGACTTTTTTTTAACAGTGTAACCTGTAATGTACTGTTCCACCAGGGCTCCTTTTAACTGGTATGTTGTTGTTGTTGTTATGTGCCCTCTAGCCGGAATCTACACATAGCTTACTGTCCAGTTAATTTTCAGAGTCTGTAAATAGCAGGGGAGGAATTTGTTCATCTTATTCCTTCATTACAGCTGGTGGATCCAAACCATGTGCTTCTGCTCTGGGTTGGCATTGCAACTCCTTCCTATTAGGGCCACCACAGTTCCCTGGCATTTATGATTGTTGTTGCTGTACCATCAAATCAGAACCAATTCATAGTTCACCCTCCAGCAAGTTTCAGAGGCAGTAAATCTCTGGAGAGGAGATTACCCATCTTTCTCCTGTGGAACAGCTAGTGGATGCGTTTGGTTTGGAGTGTAATATCTTACCAGCGCTCCCTATGTGATCTTATGGGTTATTTTATTTTTTTATTTTTGTAAGATATAGAAATAGAGTAGAGATAGAGAGGATAGAGAGATAGATAGATAGATAGATAGATAGATAGATAGATAGGTAGATAATAGATAGAGATGCACACACAGTATTTTCCAAGTAAACATTTGTCAGGTGTATAATATAGTGATGTTCACTACCTTATGTTGTACAACCATCATCCATATTTTTACCAAATAGCTTATTTTCATAAATAGATACTTACTGCTTCCTAGACAGAGACTTCCTCTGCTCCCTGTCCAGCCTCTGATAATCAATACTGAACCTTGGTTGGTCTCTACATTTTCAGATTACTTTGATTATATAAAATGAGATCATACAAGATGTGTCCTTTTGTGGTTGACTTATTCCATTCTGCATAATGTTCTTGAGGTTCATGCATGTTGTAACATGTAACAGGACTTCCTTTAGCTTTATGACAAAGCAATGATCTGCTGCTATGGTAGCAACCAGAGTATTCCATGGAGGCAAAGATGGTGAAGCGCCATCTCATATATTTTGGACATGTGGTTAGGAAAATGATATTCCTTGGAAAGTGACACCTTGCTTGAAAAGGTGGTGGGACAGAGAAGAAGAAGATCCTCAAGGGAAAGGATTGACACAGTGCCTGTGGCAATGAATTCAAATGTGTCAGCTGATAAATATGGTACAAGATAGGATAGAGTTTGAATCTGTTGTTCATAGGGTCACTGTAAGTCATATTCCATTAAAGACACTGAACGATAACAGCAAGGTAGCACAATTCATAGGGAATTGTATTGCTAATCCAAAGTTGATAAGTCTGTCATAGTTTGAATACACTAGTGGGTGCAGCAGGGAAAGATGGGAAAACTCTTCCTGTGTGATTGATTTAGTCTCCCAAACTCCACTAGAAGGTCAACTTCATTGTATTTTAGTAACAGATTTATTTTTCCATTCATCCCTTACTGGACTTTTCAGTAGTTTTCACTTTTTTGACTAGTATAAATAGTGTTATAATGAACATTGGTATAACTGTGCCTCACAGACATTAATTTATGAAATTTATGATGTGAAAAATTACATTACCCAGCTACATGACCCACAGAATGAACAAAATTGAGAACTGGAATCTCTATACTAAAGAAGAAAATGAATTTTCTTTCAAATTAAGCTTGCTAGTGCCAGATATCTGATGAGAGAAGAAGTTCAAGCTGCACTAAAGATATTGTCAAAAAAAATTAAATAAATAGATAAATAAGGCCCCAGAAATTGATGGAATACCAACTGACATATTTCAACAAACAGATACAGCTCTGGATATATTCACCTGGCTATGTCAGGAAATTTGAAATGCAACTCCGCCCCCCGCCGAGGGACGAGGACGCCCGCGCGCGAGCTTGGCCAACTGACTGGAAGAGATCAATATTTGTCCTCATTTTCAAGAAAGGTGATCCAACTGAATGCAGAACTTACTGTACAATATCACTAATAGAGCATGCAAAGTAAGTTCTTGCTAAATATCATCAAGGGTCGATTGGAACAGGGTACTGACAGAGAACAACCACAGGTTCAACCTGGATTTGGAAGAGGTCATGGTACCAGGGATATCATTGATGATGTAAGTAAGATGGATCTTACTGAAAGTAGAGAATACCAGAAGGGTGTCTATTTGTACTTTATTGATTATACAAAGGCATTTGAATGAGTGGATCATAACAAGATGTGGATAGCATTGAGAAGAATGAGAATCCCAGAACACTTAATTGTGCTTATGTGAAACCTATACCTAGACAAGGAGGCTGTTGTCTAAACAGAGGAGGTAAATACTGCATGGTTTAACAATAAAGAAAAGTGTACGTCAGGACTGTATCTTCTCTCCATACCTATTCAATATGTATACTGGACAAATAGTTTGAGAAGCTAGACTCTATGAAGAAGAATGTACCATCAGAATCAGAGCAAGGTTCATCAACAACCCAAAGATGACACAACTTGGCTTGATGAAGCAAGGAGAACCTGGGGTGCTTATTACAGAAGGTCAAAGACTGCAGCCTTCAACGTGGATTATATTTCAACATTAAGAAAATGAACATTCTTGCCACTGAAAACTTGGGTGGCATCATGATAGATGGAGAGGTGACTGAAGAGGTTAACGATTTATGATCAATACCCTTGGAATTATCCTTTGAGAAACACATCATGCTCAGAAGGGTGGAGGGATGGTGTAGGAGAGGAAGACCCCAATGAGATGGATTTATATAGTAACTGGGTCAATGGGGTGTGTCAGAGTCAGTGAGATTGGCTCAGGACAGGGCAGGATTCAGAGCTGTTGTACATAGGGTCACAGGCAACTTGATGGCACACAACTACAACCCTTGGAAACAGCAGTCAAGAAATCAAAAATATGTTGCATGTTAGAAACCTCTTCGAGGTACTGTGGAGCAGCAATGTCATTTTGAGGACTAAGGTGTGCCTGATTCAAACCATGGCCTTTGCCATTGCTTCCTATGCATCTGAAAGGTGGGCATCTACTAAAGATGACAGTAGAATTAATGCCTTGGAGTTATGGTACTGGAGAAAGGTGACGATTTTACAGTCTCTGCAAGCCATTGGAGGTTCAGCCATGAGTCAGTTGTGACTGGAGGGCAAAACAACAGCAAGTGCTGTTGTAAGGGAGCTCCGGTGGCTTAGTCCTTAGGGAACTATGCAACTAACCTAGGCGTAGAGTCTCCATGGCTCTATGGATTCAAATAACCAGCAGTTATGCAACATTTGTAAACAATATTCAAGAGAAAAGGCACAGTAGAAAGTTTAAAGCTCCAAATTCTTCTATTAAAAATCAAGATCTATACACTTGACTACACCACAATCTAACCAATCTGTATATACCTAAATATGATATAACTTTTTAACTCAGTGTCTAGTACAAAACATTACATTCCAGCCATTCAGTATCGACTCCTAACTGACCCTCCAGTAGGTTTTCAGAGGCTGTAACTCACATAGGACAAGATAGTCCATCTTTATTCCGCAGAGTGACTGGTGATTCAAACTTCATACCTTTGATTTTGCAGCACAACTGTCTCCCTACTGGGCCACCAAAGCTCCCTAGATTAATGGACATCCTGGAAATTATCATGAATTTATCTGTAATGTGTTCCCCAAAACG